CATGCCCACAGAGAGGGCTCTGAGTGCCGCCTCTGACACGCGTGTCATAGGTTCGCCACCACTGATCTAAGGGGTTGCCATAAAGAAGAACGGGTCAACCTATTCTCCAAAGCACCTGAAGACAGGACAAGAAGCAATGGATGGAGACAAGCAACCTAGAAGGAAGGAGAAACAATGAATCCGTGAAACGACTTACCTCCAGAAATTGTGGGTGCTCCAACACTGGAAGTTTTTAAGAGATTGGGCCACCATTTGTCTGAAATATAGGATTGGACTACTAGAAGACCTCCAAGGTCCCTTCCAACTCTGTTATTCTGTTAAATGGTAAAAGCTTTCTTCTATTGTGGGAAAAGTTAACTTGGTTGCTTGTCTTCCAAAGGTTTTTCCTCGTTTCAAGCCAGGTTCCTCCATCCAGAATTTGAGCGGCGACCTTCTCAGATTGTCTTGCAGGCCAACATGAAGGTGGAAATCCTTCCAGCTCTCACAGACAACTACATGTACCTCCTCGTGGATGAGGAGACCAAGGAAGCAGCCATTGTTGACCCTGTGCAGCCCCAAAAGGTATACTTCCATCTTTTGGCCGATGGCAGCTTTTTTCGGCACTTCTTGAGGTATTTTCCATCCTCCCTGATGGATTGGTTTTACTGTGTAATGAAGGCAGCCCAGCTAATAGTGTCTTTCTTTGCCCTCTGGAATGGAATAGAGAAATGGAATGGAATGGAATGGAATAGAATAGAATAGAATAGAATAGAATAGAATAAAATAGAAAAAACAGGAAATAGAATAGAACAGAATAGAACAGAATAGAATAGAATAGAATAGAATAGAATAGAATAGAATAGAATAGAATAGAATAATTGAAGAATGGAATGGAATGGAATGAATAGAATAGAATAGAATAGAATAGAATAGAATAGAATAGAATAGAATAGAATAGAATAGAATAATTGAAGAATGGAATGGAATGGAATTAATAGAATAGAATAGAATAGAATAGAATAGAATAGAATAGAATAGAATAGAATAGAATAATTGAAGAATGGAATGGAATGAATAGAATAGAATAGAATAGAATAGAATAGAATAAAGCTGGAAGGGACCTTGAAGGTCCTCTAGTCCAGCCCCCTGCTGAAGCATGAGAAACTATACCGTTTCAGACAGGTGGCTGTCTAGTCTCTTCTTAAAAACCTCCAGTGATTTCAAGAGGCCAGCTGTTCCACTTCGGTCATTTACGGCTATTTATAAATAGTGGTAGTTACAATGACAACAATAACAATACTTTCACTTTTCGCTGTTTCTGCTAGGTTCTGGATGCAGTCAGGAAGCATGGAGTGAAACTGACCACCGTGCTCACTACGCATCACCACTGGTAATCCTCTTTTATTGCGTGGCTTAAAAGGCTTTGCAGCTGAGTACAACGGGGTGCTAAGGGGGCAGCCCTCCTTTTTTGGGGCACCAGGATTTTCCCCATGCAAAGAATAATGCCCAGACTGTAAAAACATTTTCTCCTGGCCTCATTCAGGTCAGGTCATGTGCCATTTCAGTTATTGCTGTCGTCACGGCTTCCCAGACAAGGAACTCTAGAAGTCGTAACTTTCCAAAATGAAAGGCTTTTCTAGGGAGGAAAGAAATATTATTTTTTTTTGATCTCTTAATTTGACCTGTTTTTCAAGCTGACTTGACCTCTTTTCAAATCAAGTGCTCACGGAGCGTGCCTTCGTGGAAGGCTGTGGCTGTCAGTGGAGTTTGAGTTGCACCACTTTTGAAATGAAATATAATAATAATAATAATAATAATAATAATAATAATAATAATAATAATAATAATAATAATAATAATAATAATAATAATAA